TAAGCCAAGAAACGTTTTTTTTTAAAAAAAGGAAAATTAATTCACTTGGATAAAAACTCCAAGTTTATAGTTGAAAAAAGTTTTTTATGCGATTAACGTTTATAGACTTACTTCGTCAGTTGTGGCCTATCCAGCAGTAACAGAATGTCATAAATGTAAATTGGGACATAACAAATACACTAAACAAAGACAAACAAACACTTTAAAATTTAAGAAATGGAGAAGCTACATTTTATATAGAAGTCGGAGACAGAATAGCTCCCAGCCTGGCGGAGGCGGAAATATTGAGATGACATGTGACAAATGACAGCTTGTGAAGGGCAGTTACAATAGATAAGTGATCTGCGCCTTTCAAGATTCTATGAAACTAAGTATTGACCAAAGGTCCAACTGACACCACTATAGGAAATCAACTGATGAAATATAAAATTATATCTAATATTTTTATGTAGATTGAATAATCCAGATCTCACACTCAAACCTGTCTATAATAATTAGGATGTTAGTTTGAGAGCAATTGAAGTTGACATAAAGTATGAATGTAAGAAATAGACTAAACAATATATTAGACAGTGGATAGTTGACTACAATAAAATGGTCCACTAAGCGCTACTGTAAAAAAAATCTGAATATTCAGTTGAATTGCTAAAAATTAAAATCAAAATTAAAAGCAAAATATATAAATGGGTTATAATCCAAGTAGTTCAGTTGAATCCACAGTCATGTCATCTCAATATTTCCGCCTCCGCCAAGCTGGGAGCCATTCTCTCTCCGGCTTCTATATAAAATGTAGCTTCTCCATTTCTTAAATTTTAAAGTGTTTGTTTGTCTTTGTTTAGTGTATTTGTTATGTCCCAATTTACATTTATGACATTCTGTTACTGCTGGATAGGCCACAACTGACGAAGTAAGTCTATAAACGTTAATCACATAAAAAACTTTTTTCAACTATAAACTTGGAGTTTTTATCCAAGTGAATTAATTTTCCTTTTTTAAAAAAACGTTTCTTGGCTTATTTCAGATGTCCCTGAGGATGATCTTGTGATCGAAAGTACTTGGGCAAGATTTGATTAACTACTGTGTTCGATATTTGCCTTGTGTACCATCAAAGTTAACTTTTAAATAGTAATTTTTTTTATTGAAGCATTTGCAATTTCATTGATTCTTTGGGATATAACTAAAATACCTTCATATATAAATTAAAATAACGAAGAATAATTTCAGTTTCCTATCGTACAATATTTCAATTCCTTCAGGTTGGCTTGAGTTAATATAAATCATTTTAGAGTTGTTTATCATTTTACAGATGTGTACTTCCTAGGCATTCCTTTGCGTTTTATATAATGCGTCTTAATTCCCGTTTGTGTTTTGTTTATACTAAGTGCTTTGTTTATTTCAACTTATGCAATCAATTTTAAAAGATAATTGTATCATTCTCGTTGGAGCCGCAGTCAAGAGCGGTCAGCGTTATGTCCAAATTCACATCGAATTTGTAAAGTTTTCTGTTTTTGCCCCTTTTCATAAAAAATGTGTAATAGTAGTGTGAAGTTAATGGTTCAGTTAATGTTTTGAGTGAAAATTGGAAGAATCGTCGTTTTCATCCTCGTTTTGTTTCTCCCTGGTTATCATCCAAGGCTTTTGGCAGTATCGATATTGATTTGTTCGCGTGTTCGTTGCACAAAGAGTGAAGCCTAGGTCTACCCCATTGATAGTTCCAGAAATACCAGTGACATCCAGTTACAGAAAATTCAAAGTGCAATTTTTTAGTTCAAATTTTAGAGTAAAGACAGACAATTTTTTTTAAATATTAATTGTAAAAGGGTTAACCTCTGTGTGGTAACATTTGTAAACTTTTGTAGTATCTCTAACTTCTAGAGTTTGTTAATGGATGACATGTAAGTTTTCTTTTATATTTTTGTATTTTGCGGCTATTGATATATTTTTGCATTGTTTTATTTTTGTAACTGTTTGTGGTAACACACAATAAATGTTAAATTTTTTCTTAACATATTGTTTATATTTATAATTAACCTTTTTTTTATTTTCATTTGAAAAAAAATATGTTTTTCATTTTTAATAATTTTTTCGATAGTTACAACTAGTTGTTGTAATAGTTATAATTAGGCACCTCGAAGTGGCGTCCTTTTTAAATTACTAGAAATGTTCACTGTTTCCTCTTATTTTATTTGTCCCAAGAGATTCATGACCTTTTGTTTCATTTTTCTGTAGTTGCCCCAATCAAAGCCCCGTGCCATTTACTTATCCAGCTTTCCTAACAAACCCTTGCCCTACCTCAACCCCCATAATTTGTGTCCCCAATCTTCTACCCCTTATATTAATACTTGCCTACTATTTGCCTACCATGTGGTAGGCAAAATACTTTCGTCACATTATGTATTTTTTTGTTTTTTTAAATGGCCAAAGCAGAACTTTCAATTTCGGAGCAGAAAGCATCGAAAAATCAATACTGTTTTTTACTCATTTATTTGCACATAACCTAAAAAATGTTGAAAAATGTTTAATTAGCAACTGAGTTTTCAGGTTATATGGAAATAAATGAGTAAAAAAAACAGTTTTTTTAATTTTTCGATGCTTTCTGCTCAAAAATTAAAAATTCTGCCTTGGCAATTTGAAAAAAGGTAAAAAAATACATAAAAAATTAGTATTTAAACGTTAGCCAAAAATTATTAACATAACCTATCATCAACCTCAAACGCCATCAAAGACATTAACCTAACAAAGCTCCTGGTACAGATGGTATACCTCCCGAATTCCTGATCCATTGTGGAAAATCTGCAAAAACCTGGTTGCCTAAATTCTATACAGATGTACTCAAAATAGGTAACCTACCAAACCTCTTTAAACAAACAAAAATCATAGCCATCCTGAAACCTGGAAAACCAACAGACAACCCAGCGAGTTACCGCCCCATCGCTTTACTCAGTGCAGCTTACAAGCTCCTCGAAAGACTGGTCCTGAACAGAACCGGCCCAAAGCTACTTAAAAAAATACCAATTGAACAAGCAGTATTCAGGCCTCAACGAAGCACCACTGACCAAGTGCTCTCTATAACTACCTACATAGAGGCAGGTTACCAAAGAAAACTGAAGACGTCTGTGGCATTCATCGATTTATCGGCTGCCTATGACACGGTTTGGAAAGATGGCCTCATCTATAAGCTCCTTAAAATAATCCCCTGCAAAGCAACCGCCCGACTCATAAATACTATGCTGAGCAGTAGAAACATCCGTGTAACCATGGGAACTACAGTGAGCAAACAGAGAACGCTTAATAATGGCCTCTCCCAGGGCTCCGTACTTGCACCGCTGCTATTTAGTATGTATATAGCTGATATGCCCCGTACCAGATCTAAAAAATTTGGATATGCAGACGACTGGGCACTTGCAACTCAAAGCTCCTTAATACAAAGCTCCGAGGCAATCCTAACGGAAGATCTGGAACGCCTGGTTAAGTACTTTAAACAATGGAGACTTAAACCTAACCCCAAAAAAACCGAGGTTAGTTGTTTTCACCTGAACAACAAAATGGCCCACACAAAACTTAAAGTATACATTGATAACCAACTGCTCACGCACAACTATAATCCCAAGTACCTCGGCGTCACCCTGGACAGAACACTCTCCTTTAAGAAACATCTTGAGAACACCGCAGCAAAGCTAAGAACCCGTAACAACATGATACAGAAGCTTTGCAGGACAGAAAACCTCCGACTAGAGATGCAATAAACTTGAGTTCCAACAATTTTCAAATGAACTCCCAGTGGAAGAACATGCAGAGCGACAGACCGAACCTAATAATGAGAAACACACCATGCATCACAGAAACTCCACCAGGTTTTGACCTCCCCCGAAAATCATGGTCAACAGGATAAGAACGGGTCATGGAGTCTGCGCAGATTCCCTTTATAAATGGAGGATGAGAACCTCTGCTGAGTGCGACTGCGGCGCCGAGAAACAGACCATCCAGCATATGATTGCCGAATGCCCTCGGAGGAAGTATTATGGAGATCCTCTAGACTTCGCCTCTGCAACACCAGCGTCGATTGAATATATTAATACATTAGATGTTAGATTGTAACATATATGTGATAATATTGTGTATCAAATTGCCATACGCTAAATAAATAAATAAATTAACATAACCTAAAAAATTATTGAAAATTTCAATGATTTTTCTTGAGCTTAATTTTCAATATAAACATTTGAAAAAAAAAACACGCTATTTTGTATTCGAAAGATACATCTTTATGAATTTTTTCAGATTTTTTAAATCAAAATTGCGCGCAGAAAAAAATAAAGTCGAAAAAAGTTTCTTTTTAGATTTAAGAAGTTCTATGGGCTCTGGAAGCTAAAAATTTGTATGACGTCATGTTTTTATATGCTTTATTGAAAGTACAAGTCGCGGTGCTGATCGGTGCGGGGGCATTTTTGACCATCTTATCCCGCTATAACCTTAGGCATCTATTTGACATTTTTTTTTCTTTTTAGGTTTAATTAAACTCTACAACTATTTATGCCAAAATTATTTCACATACTGTTTTTATTTACAAATATCAATAATTCTAATCGTCCGTAATATCTTAGAGATATAGAAAGCTTCGGCTCTGACAGTCTGGGGCCACAACGCGACATCAGCGACGTTTTTGAATGAGAAAGGCTAAGAAATGTATTCATTGGAATGGCTTTACCTACGATTATAATGTTTCTTGATATTTTGTTGCTTTTAATTTAAACATTTTAGTTTTTTGCACGATATGTTGTAATATGCAAACCTTGTAATGTGCACAAATATATTATTGTTCTGAAGCTATTTACTGTTTAATTTACTGTTTGTATTTTGAGAACGATTTCCGAAGTGGAAATTGAAAAGTCAATAAACGTATTTTTATCTTTAATTGTGGCTTATTCCCAGTTTAATAGTAATTAATTCACAAATATATTATTTCAATATACAATTTTTCATTTTTTTATGTTCCATAGACAAAAATTGTGGGAGGAGAGCCAACTATTGTAAATGAATATCCGGCTATGGCGGGTTTAGTGGACGTAGAAAACAGCGAGATTATTTGTGGCGGTAGTATAATTTCCAATAGATATATACTTACTGCAGCTCACTGCATGAGGAATATACCTTTTCGAACCATGGCTATTCTTGTAGGAGACTGGAATATATCCACAGGTAACGACATTTTATTAGTTGGTGAGAATATAAGACTGTGGTGGACTGTATATATGTTGCTAAAACTTTGCTTGATGGAATGCAAGTTGTACAGTAAAATACAAACACGAGTGATTTCTTTAAGGTTTATTTTTGCACTGATATAATTGCAAATATTTACAGTCGACTCCCACATAGACAGGATTTTGTCTAATTGCATTAACATGATAGGTTAAATGAATCGTATTTATATCCCCCAACTTAAAATGGTTAAATTTCAACAACCGATGAAGAATGAAGTTATAAATAAATTATCACAAAAGTGTTTATTACATTAGTATAGTTATCTATATGGTTGGTTAATGCGGCAGACGACGCCGCATTAATCGCCGAGATAGAAGACGAGCTCTAAAGATTAACACATACAGTGCGTTAAGTCTTGGATTAGGTATACACTGTATAAATGGCAACACTGCGCGTCGTCGACTTGCACTACATATCTGCTTCGTTGACTCGTCGTTGCTCGTCGCCCGTCGGCAAATTTGTCATATTATCATTATACCGTGGTTGTTTAGGTATAACAGCGTAGAGTTTTAATTTATTTTTGTAAACATGTCTGTTTATATGGCCGCGGAAAAAGCTCAAATAATAAAATGGTTTTATAGTGGCAATTCTGCGCAACAGTGGGTAGATTTATTTTCTGTGTTTTTTGAGGGAAGACCAATTCCTTGTGTACAGTCAATTTATAATATTGTTAAAAATTTTGAGAGTTGTTATTGCCTCAAAAATTGCAGAAAATGTCACGCTCAGGAAGTGTTACCAGAAAAAGTTGAGGAAAGAGAATACCGGGATACACAAATTTGTGCAACAATCGAGGTAGATCCAACACGTTCAAGTAGAAGCGTTGCTAGAGAGTTCGATGTTAGCAATGTTACTGTAACGAAAGTATGGAAAAAGCACGGTTACAAGAATTTTAAATATTCGAAAACGCAGCAGCTTTGTCCAGACGATTACTTTCGAAGAATGGAGTTTTGTGAAACTCTAATAACGAAGGTTAATAGTGAACCAAATTTTATTAAAAATATTTTATTCACTGATGAATCTTCTGTTTCGTTAGTAGGGAGACACAATCCTTCCATTACGAGGTATTGGGCGCGGGAAAACCAGCACAGAAGTGTTGTTTACCGAACTCAACGTCCTCAAAAAGTTAACGTCTGGACTGGCATTTTAGGAGACCACATAATAGGTCCATTTTTTATTGAGAGCAACTTGAATAGTAGAGTATACCTCGATTTGTTACAGAATCATGTTCTTCCCGCTATTCTCAATCTTCCTAATGTAAATCTGGAGAATGTTTGGTTTCATCAAGACGGCTGTTCAGTTCACAACGCTCGAATTATTAGGGAGTATTTAAACAATACTTTCCAGAATCGAGTTATCAGTGGAACAGGCGATATTAAGTGGCCTGCGCGATCTCCAGTTCTTACACCCATGGACTTCTATTTTTGGGGACATTTAAAAAGCATTATCTACGCTCATCCTGAGGCTAGAGCCCAAAATTTGGATGAATTAAAAAATCGAATAAGAGAAGTCTCCAATTCTGTTCCAGCAGAAACTCTTTCATCTGTTCGCAGAAATTTTTATGACAGATTGGGGTACTGTTCAGCCGTAGAAGGTCAACTATTTGAACCATTTCTGTAGGTCATAAAGAATTATTTTTTATTTTATTAGGAATAATATTTTAATTTTCAATAAGAGTATATTTTTTATTTTATCTTTTTAAAGAAATACGCTTTTATTTTTAATTCAACCACAAAAAAATTTTCACATTAATAAAAATCGATAACAATGCACCGATTAGGTCAGTGTATTTTTATCGAATTTCCTACTATTAAAATCGGCTATACGTAATGAAACATGAGATCGGACGACAGAGAAGTGCATCCCAAACGTTGTTGTGAGTTACTTAACTAAAATAAAAGATTTTCTGTCGGTGTAGATACTGAGATTCTGAGATAGTCTCGGGTCGGAGAACGAACATTTGCAACGTTGCCGATTTCAGCGCTCCGTATAGTGTGCAATACCTAATCAAAAACTTAACGCACTGTATCTTCAATATAACAGCTAAGAAATACAATATAATAATATCAGCAGAAAAAACCAAATGCATGACAACATCTAAATACCCACTACGGTGTAAAATCGAAATTGATGGAAAAATAATAAAGCCGGAAGCAAGGTTTAGATATCTGGGAATAGATATAACTAGTTATGGAGATGTTGAAGAAGAAGTACGACAATAAACCTTAAAAGCAAGTAAAGCGGCGGATTCTCTTAATGACTCAATCTGGAATAACAAACACCTAAGACAAGTAGAAGTCTGTTGGATAGGGAGAGAAGCGAAAACATAAGAAGAGCATGCAATATAGAAGACATAAATGGATGGGTGACAAAACAAAAATAGAAGTGGAACGAACATATCAGTAGAATCGCAGATGATAGAATGGTACGAATAGCACGAGATAAGTCATCAAATGGACGAAGAAGTATTGGCAGACCAAGAAAAATATGCTGCGACAATTTAAACAATTTAGGAGTCTAATATTGAAAAAGAAGCAGGCTTTAAAGCCTGCTTACATACTAGAAGGAAGAAGAAGCAATTTTTGCAATTTTTTATGATTTTCAGGAGATTAATTAAATGTATTGCTTTTATTGACCAGTCGTAATAGAATTTCCATTGCTAGAGCATTGAATCTAGTCTAACATAATCTTTAAAAGGTATAACATAAATTTCGATTTTAAGTTTTTACAACAAGTATGACACATTGGAACAGAAACTTGTACCCGAAAAAATTACTGGTTTGACGATGAATGCAAAGACGCAACACAGAAAAAAAATTAAGCTTATGCAAAAATGCTTACCCGCCGGACTAGTACAAGTGTAGAGAATTACCAGACAAAGAGAAGAGAAGAAAAGAAAATACACAGAATGAAGAAACGAAACCACTTAAAAAAGGAACTTCAATATATAGAAAACCTCAACAGAGAGAAAGAATTCAGAACATTCTATAAGAAAGTTAACATCACCAGAAAAGAATTCAAGGCAAACACAAATAAATGTAGAAGTTTGAATGGCGATCTATTAACAACAAGAACAGACGTACTAAATCGATGGACGGAATATTTTAACCAAGTACTTAATATAGAGGAAGAGGAAAACCCGGAAGACGAAAGCTGTGAGGTAAGCAGAGTAGACGAGAGGGAGGAGAACCCACCAACGATCCTGGAAGTTAAAGACGCTGTCAATAAACTAGCCAGAAACAAATCACCCGGAATGGATAATCTTCCAGCGAAATTATATAAAGAAGGTGGCCACGATATCACAATAGCGCTACAGCAGCTTATAAAAGAAATATGGATACAGAAGTCCCTCCCCTGTGATTGGAATATTGGAATACTTTGCACCATACACAAAAAGGTAGATATCTTTGAATGCTCTAACTATCGAGGAATTACGCTCCTAAATGCAGCGTATAAAATATTCTACAATATACTATGCCATCGTATGGCACCGTATGCAGAGCAAATAATAGGACAATACCAGGCTGGTTTCAGACGTGGTAAATCAACAATTCATCAGATTTCAACCCTGAGACAAATTCTAGAGAAAACACTGGAATATGGTGTAGACACGCACCACATATTTATAGACTACAAGGTAGCCTACGACTCTGTAAATAGAAGAGAATTGTTTAGAGCAATGATAGACCTGGAAGTACCAAATCAGTTGGTAATATTAACCAAACTAACCCTTGAAAAAGTTGAATGCAGAGTACGAATTCAGGGGGAACTCTCTGAACCTTTTAATACAAATAACGGGCTACGTCAGGGAGACCCAATCTCCTGTATACTATTCAATCTAGCTCTGGAAAAAGTAATACGTACGTCACAAATCACAACTACCGGTTCAATATATAACAAATCTGTGCAAATCCTAGCATATGCTGATGATATCAATATTGTTGGGAGAACGGAAAACGCAGCACGAGAGGCGTATGTAGCACTAAAGGAAGCGGCTTCAAAAATGGGTTTAATAATAAACATTAATAAAACGAAATACATGAAAGTAGATCCGCAACCACAAATACGACGGCCACTTTTTATAGAAAACGACGTCATCGAAGCAGTTAACGAATTTGTATACCTGGGAACGCTCGTCAATACTGAAAATGACATTACCGCAGAAATAAACCGCAGAATTTGCACGGCTAATAGATGCTATTTTGGGCTTAATCTCCTTTTTAAATCTACAGCTATATCAAGAAATACAATAGTAAAACTCTACAAAACAATAATACGCCCAGTCCTAACATATGGTTCAGAAACCTGGACTTTAACAAAAAGCAATGAAAACATGTTAGGGTGTTTCGAAAGAAAAATACTGAGGCGAATCTATTGTAGCGTGATTAAATAAAACGAGCGGTTCGAATTTATATAAATATATTTATTTATAACTTTACTCTTCGGTACTCTCTTATCAACTAAACTAACTCCTAAGATCGTTACATATATATACCAAAGTTACTATTTTCTAGAAAGTTTCCACCTCTAGGCGTATACGTGACCGATGTTTCTGGAAACATCGGTTCGCTTTCGAGATGCAGCCGCTATACGGGGACATGCTAAATGCGTGTTCGTAATACTATGGAGTGGTAAATGAAAATGGTGTCTGGAGAAGACGATACAACGTCGAACTCTATAGAATATACCAGGAACCAGATATCGTAAAACACATTAAGATAGGACGTCTGAGGTGGGTAGGCCACGTAATGCAGATGGAGCAAACCGACCCAGCTAGAAAAACGCTCCTTGATAGACCTATTGGTCAAAGAAAAAGAGGAAGACCCAGAACAAGATTACTAGATAACATAGACCAAGATATGAGAAATATAGAAATACGTGCTTGGCGGAGGAAGGCGATGGATAGGGACGACTGGAAGAGAATTCTTGGGGAGGCTAGGACCCACACAGGGTTGTAAAGCCAAAATGATGATGAATGATGATGACACATTTGAAATGTGTCTAACAAACGTAGAATTTAAATTGTTAAAGTACAAACGAACATACATGAAGGGAAAGGTCTTTACGAAGACGGTATTAAGTTAAATTTGTAGCTGAATGTATTTAGTTTCGAAAAACTCACTTGTACAATCAAAAAGGAGCAATTTTTAACGTTTTAGATTTACGTTTGCCATGTAAAAGTTTAAATTCAGCGTTTTTTAGAGATAATTCAAATGCCTTACATTTATTGACAGAACAATGAAAATTTAATGCTTTAATTAATCTCTAATAATTAATCTCTAATTTAGCTCTTTTATAAAAGCTGACTTTATTTGCGACAAAACACAAAAATTATATACGAAAGCTGCACTCTTTACCTCTAAAATGCATTTTGATTTTTGTTGAGAGAATACTCTAATCAAAAGATATCAGATTTTTACCATCGAGTTAATGCAAATTTTATTTAAAATTTATTTCGCGTGCGTAACTGACATTAAAAATCGCCGGTAGCTTCAGGCGTTGTTTCTGAGAGACCTGTTCATTCTTCGCAAAAACTGCTAATAAACTTTTTTGTTCAAAATTATCTTAGCTACGTTTTTTATTTGAAACAATTTTTGCTACGACGTATAAATTTTTGCAAAATCAATTTTTGCCGTTTTCCCCCTGTACGAGGGGGCGTTTTAGGAGAAAGCCGGGGCTAAAACTGGTAAACTTTTTTGCATCTTATCTTGGGCTTGTAACGATAATATTTTACCTACCTAAGGGTAAGATCATGGAGGTAGAAAATGGGGACAGAAACTAAGGGGGTTGAGATAGGGCAAGCCAAAACAATCGATACTTGTGCGAACGGCACTCAGGGGTTAATTGGAGAGCTGAAGGTATGGGATAATAGGATAAGATTCTGAAGGTAATACATGGTCTTATTTACAATAAAGGTGAGGAATACCTGGATGACACTCAGTTTGGTTTCCGTAACGGATTTGGAACGAGAGAGGCACTGTTTGGAATGAACGTACTTGCTCAAAGATGTCGTGATATATCTGTAGACATATACTGTTGTTTTATTCACTTTCAAAAGGCATTTTGATCGTGTTAAGCACTCTATATTGATCGAAGCTCTAAAAGACATTGGCTTGGACGGCAGAGATGTTCGAATAATTGCAAATTTATATTGGAATCAAACAACATTAGTTTTAGTAGATGGTGTGGAATCACAAGCTCTTAATATTAAAAGAGGAGTACGGCAGGGATGCCTCTTGTCACCCCTGCTTTTTAACGTTTACTCCGAAAGAATTTTCAGAAAAGCACTTTCTGAAAAACAAGAAGGAATACTTGTGAACGGCGAAGTCATCAATACTTTGCGATATGCGGACGATACAGTACTCCTAGCTTCTAGAGAGAGTTGAGAGTTCTCCTAGTTGAGAGTTGTAGGGAGGCAGGTCTGGATCTTAACATAAGGAAAACCAAAATACTCGTAATAAGTAAATAACAGAATATAAAACAGTCTATATATGTAAATAGTACCAAACTTGAGCAAGTTGATAAAATCGTCTACCTTGGACAGCAATTAAATTGTAATGCAGAAAAATCACGGCGAAATTAGATCCAGAATAGAGCAGGCTAGAGCTGCTTTTAGAAGGATGTCCAAGGTGTTATGTAACAGAGACCTAAAATTGGCATTAAGGATCTGCCTACTTCGCTGCTACGTGTTCTCGGTCTTACTTTATGCTGTCGAGTCCTGGACTGTGAATAAAATCGATCTAAATCGCCTTGAGGCTTTCGAAATGTGGTGCTATAGAAGAATTTTAAAAGTTTCCTGGGTGGAGAAGATTCGTAACTCCACATTACTAGAACGTCTCAGCAAGACTACTGAGATCATAAAAAGCATCAAGCAGAGAAAGCTGGAATATTTCGGACATGTAATGAGAGGTCCCAAATATAGATTGCTACAAAATATCATGCAAGGAAAAATAGCAGGCAAACGCAGTCCAGGACGAAGAAGAACCTCATGGTTGAAGAACTTGCGAGATTGTTATGGTGTAGATACAAACATGCTATTTAGGGTGGCAGTGAATAAAATTAAAATAGCTATGACGGTAACCAACGTTCTGAAAGGACATGGTACATGAAGAAGAAGAAGGTCGTGGATAAGTTGAATTACAAAGGGGTTAGAATGCGGTAACTGCAAATGAAACAAACAGTTACTTACATAAATCTCCTGGACAAATAATACAACAAAAAAGAAGCTTCTAGCAATTTAAGATACGGGCGCCGCTTCGAAGGATCCTAGTTTGCTGAAGAAAAAAAAAGGCCCTTCTTTCCTAAAATCAAGAATACACACAAGGGTTAGTAGACTTTCTGAACTAAAGACAAAAAAAAAAATAAACCAGAGAAATAAATCAAACATTTATTTTTGTCTCAAACAAACAGTTACCAAAATACAGATAGCACTAAAAAATATTCTATATTAATAGTTGCAAAATACAAAATTTCAAAGAAAAAACTTACTTGTCCAATATGTTTACTATGGAGATTGCTACAAAATCTTTCAAAATGGTTACTAGGTTATTTACCACCGTGGCCAAAATAGATTATTGAAATTAAGTCTTATTAGGCTTTATAAATGAAAATATCGCAAAGTTTTCTACTTTCACTTTCTACTTCTACTTTCAAAAATCTTTTCTACAAACAAATTAAAGATTGTCCAATAAAAACAAATTAGAGCTAGCTGTCATATGTCAACACAACATTTTAAGACAGAGAAAATTATGACATTTTTTAGCCACGCCCTAATATATATATATATATAATATATATATATATATATATATATATATATATATATATATATATATATATATATATATTATATATATATATATAATTTTAATTATTATAGATTCTAAAAATTATTTTAAAAAGCAATTATTGTTACTTAGAAAAAAAATGTCTATTTTACTTGAAAAATTATACAGTAAATGTTACCTTTAATTCACATTTTTTACACTTAAACTTCTGGAAATCTTGTTGACATCTCTGGGGTAGAAGCTATTTGGACATCATCAACGAAAATCTTTATCCATTGGAGGCTGAAACTGGCACACTGCCACATTCAAATACAAAACTGATCCAATAACATACTAGATGAGGTGAAGAGGCATTTGCACAAACCTTGGAAAAACGGGATTTCTTAAAAAAAAAACCAAACTTGTTCACTTTTCAAACATTATAAAATCTTCAGAAAACCGAAGCAGTGGTCACTCTTCCAAAAATGACATATTACGTAGAGAGAAAAGTCCACTATTTCTGGCGAATTCTAGTGGTGTTTGGGAAGGCATTTAGTATTTATTTGCATATTTTACATTTAATACTTTTATTATTGTATTGTAATATGTTCTTATTTAATGACATATTCTAACTACTTATTTATTTTAAAAGTACAGTATTTTATTTTTTCTATTTAATAAATTCTCATTGTTAAACTGGCTAACACATTTATTCTGTTTTTAAGTTCGAAGAAATTGATTTCTCTTTGTTATTTGGTCACTTCCTTGCAAACCATAGAGAACGTTACAAAAATATCATATTTCTGTGACCATTTAGTTAAAATTATTGCTATTCAAAATCGCAATACAATAGAGTTGATTTATGGGTATGCACTTACCCTAGGGACAACCTAGAAGCGTGGCCAGAGGTTCTGACTATTTTATACCAAGGAAAGACAGTTTTTATCAAGACAGCGTACGGAAAGCATCTCCAGTTGATCGGTTACGTCTTTTTTGTGCCTCGGGGCCGATCGTCGCGATGCGACGATACTTCCTCTTATGGTGCCCTATCCACTTAAGGGATGTTGGCGACAATTCTGGCATACTCCTCTCGATCTTGTGTGGCTCAAAAAAGTGCATTGTCCAATCCCTTCTGTTTTTAAGTATTTCTTTCTTCCGTTGCCTCATTTTCCTTCTATCTTCCCTTCCATAATAAGCTTTGAGAAGTGGTATTTGGAATTTCGAAATATATGACCCAGATAAGCAGTTTTTCTTCTTTTTATTATTGGCATCAATTCTCGTTCTCGGCCCATTCTATTTAATACTTCGACATTTGTTGTGTGATCTGTTCAGGGAATTTTAAGTAGTCTTCTAAATACCCATATTTCAAAGGCCTCCAATCGGTTCATTACATTGGCCTTTATGGTTTAGGTTTCTACACCATATAGCAGTATGGAGTAAATGTAACATTTTACAAAGCGATATCGAAGCGTTAAGTTGAGGCTGCTGTTGCTTACCAAGGTTCTCCAATTGGTAAATGCTGTTCTGGCTTGCTCAAATCCTGCGACGATACAACTCTACCATTTTACTGCTTGTTAAGATTTATACACCATTATTTTAAAGCTAAGTCTTTATTTTGTACAAATAACAGCAATGAGTTAAGCCAGCTATTTTTCGTAATATGTAAATTAATTGCTAATTTATTCACAATCACAATATTGCATTTGTTCGTCATTATTATTTATCTAATATCATTTAACCAGCGACCTCTAGTTTTACACAAAACATATTTTTGTCTTTGACGACCGGTGTAAAAGCAAAAAGGATTATTAAAAAACTTAAACTAATAATGTTAGAAGATTAGATAAATTGTGAATTTTTGTATAAAATATATAGGTACCATTTAATCTCAATATTTCTGAATGGCTATTTTTTAGGAATGGATACAAATGCGGCTGCTCTTTATAGAACTGAAAGTTATTGGGAACATCCAAATTTTGACATAGCTACTGGTCAGAATGATGTAGCAATTATCAGAACTTTGCAACCAATTGCATTTTCATTATTAGTAGGACCAGTTTGCCTTCCATTTTTGTACTCATACGATACATTTGCAAGAGAAAATGTTACAATATTAGGTAAATATATTTTTTATTCTATCATTGAACCGTTTTATGCTAGAACTAATTTGTTTATTTTATTTTGTGTAGCAATATATAGTCGTCAAAACCAAGTATCAAAACCAAGTACCAAAAGAAAACAAAACTCCGAAAGTATTTCGATAAGGCTATAAACTAATTTTGATAATTACCGGTTCTTGGCTCTCGGGAAAAAAAAATCAAGATTTTAGATCCTCGGTTCAATTTCCTTCTCTATTCTCCTCCACCTTTTTTATCACCTCAGAGATCAGAGGGTGCACTTCATTGTCTTCTATTCTCTCTCCCCTCCTATTATCATGTTAAATATATTTCTTTTATCCAACCTGAAACCCATTCGCCTCTCAAAGTTTCGTCTCTCATTTGGCACTTGAAAAGGTGAGCGGGAGCATCCCGAATCACACAAATAATAGAGTCCGCCTAGACAGATTGGCCTACTCTATTTGTGAAGGTGCCAAAACCATCATGTCTGGTCAAAAACTGCGTAAGGAAGTAGTCCAGTTTCCTGAACTTACATTCCCACCACGGCATCAGATCGGGAATAAACTCCTTCGTTGATTTTGCCTTTCCGCTATCATTCGCTTATTCCCTCTGCCACTCCTCTACCATTCTCTATTTCTTCCTAATCTTTGTTTTAATTAATTCTCATCGCATACACCTTCGGTTGCTCTTTGCACAACAAGACGATCAGTATGACCGCTCCAATGACATACAGAGCCTCATTTGAGGCCTTCCTGTAGGCGTTAGATACCTTAAGGAGCATTCAACTTTGCAAAATATTTATCAGGTTGCGTATTCCGTAGTTTTCAGCACGCTGCACAACACGGGGACAGAGTAGATCACCACCGCCTGGAAAACTCCATTTAGCACCCTTGTTTGGTGTTATTTAATCCTCCACTACTCGGCATTAGCAGTACCAATGCCTCCAGACTTTGGTTTTGCCATTTCCACTGTCTCTTGGACGTTGGTTTACCAATGTTGGTTTGTTTCAGGTTGGGGACAAATATTTTATAATGGTCCATCATCGGATGTTTTACAAAAGGTAGAAGTAGAAGTGATCGCAAACACACAATGCCAGAGATCGTTTCGAAATGAGAGCATATATACCAGTCAGATATGTACCCTGACCCCGGGTAAAGATTCTTGCCAGATGGATTCGGGAGGTAAGTGTATTTTAACTTAACATTTGCAATCACTTCCATTTTATTATATTTAAAAAATGTTATAGGTAATGGTCATTGGCAAGCCTAAATTAAAAGTCATCGTATACAAAGTTCTGGTGTTATGTTACAAAAACACAATAGTGTTTGAACAGTTTTTAGATTTAGAGAAGGTGATTATGGCGACAAAACTCTCAAACGGATAGAATTTTTAAGCAATTTTAAAGCAGGTCGATCATGGCAAAAAAATCTCACAATAAAAAATATAAAGGGAAATCCATTTAAGGTCACAAACAATACAAAAAATGTAAATGTTATTCGTCCATGTCATGACATCTTTAAGTGCCAATTTCAATAAATTTACTAGGCGCTTTGCCTACAGAATGATAATCTACTACTTGGATTAAACATTTCCCATTAAAAAAAAATAGCTATTTATGGTTGGTGTGGTAAGAACAGATAAAGAGGAAGACAGAGAAGAATATGAAAAATTAAGAAGGAATGCTAAGAAAGTAATAAGGCAAAATAAAAGAAGATGGGTAGACAAAAAAATGCAGGAAATAGAGCAGGAAAGAACAAACAGAAATACGAAAAGTTTTTACAAAAAGATTAAAAACAAAACAAAAAATACCAGGGCAAAACAAACGGAATAAAAAATTGAGAGGGAATAGTGATAATAGACGACCAAAAATACAAGCAAGTATGGAGAGATTACTACAGAGAGCTCTTGACGGAGGAAACAACAGAAGAAGAAATGCATAACGAGGAGGAAACGGTACACGAAGAAGAAGCAGATGAAGTAGATATCGAAATTTCAAAAGAACCAACATTAGAGGAATTGGATGAAGTAATACAGAGAAGCAAAAATGGAAAAGCCCCTGGTAAAGATGGAATTAATGTGGAACTAATAAAATACGGGGGAAGGGAACTAAGAGGAAAAATACTGGCACTATTGAAAAATATATGGAAAGAAGAGAAAATGCCAGGGGACTGGGAGGAAGGACAGATCATAACAGTACATAAAAAGGGAGACCAACAAATCTGTGAAAATTATAGAGGAATAACATTACTAAATGCAACATATAAAATATCGACATCAATAATAAAAAAGAGGTTATTAAAGATCACAAAGAAGACAGTAGGCCAGTACCAATGTGAATTCACAGAAGAAAGATCTAAAATAGATGCAGTACACACAATAAAACAAATAATGGAAAAAGCAAACGAATATAAATTAGAATTGGAAATGTTATTCATAGACTTCAAACAGGCATTTGATTCAATTAAAAGGAACGTATTAATGACAGCACTTAAAAAATTAAAAATTCCACATAAACTCAGAAAATTAATAGAAATGACAATAAGAACTACAAATATAAGCATAAAGACACAAAGAGGAGAGACAGAGGAATTCAGTATAAATAAATGGATGAAACAAGGAGATGCCTTATCAACAACGCTATTTAATCTAGCATTAGAATATGTACTACGAAATATAAATAAAGGAAATCTCAGAACAAGAGGTGGTCAAATAATTGCATATGCAGACGATATTGCTATTATTGCAAAGAACAGAAAAATAATGAAAGAAATGCTTGAAGAAATAAGAGAGAAAGGGAGGTAATGGGGCTAAGATTAAATCAAGAAAAGACAAAAATATTAAGATTAGGGAAAAAACCAATAAGGGAAAAAATGAAAATAGGAAGTTCTGAGTTTGAAGAAGTAGAATACTTCAAATACCTAGGAGTTACAATAAGTAAATCCGAAGAAAGGAAATCCAAAATAAAAAAAAATATTAGCAGCGAATAAAGCTTATTTTGCAAGCAAAAGATTACTTAAAAGCAAAACACTGACTAAAAAAAGTAAGATGAGCATTTATAACACCATAATTGGACCAATATTATTATATGCAGGGGAAACAATGACGATGGTTAAAAAAGATGAAGAAGACTTAAGAATAGCAAAGAGAAAGATTATGAGAACCATACTAGGACCAATTAGAACAGAGGAAAATTAATATAGAAGCAGAACAAATGTAGAAATTAAGGAAGAAATTAAGGAAGACATCGTAACTAAAATAAAGCAATGCAGAGTTAGATGGTTAGGTCACATTTGGCGAGCAGGCGATGAGGCAGTGACATACGCAATGATAGAATGGAATCCAGGAGGAAGAAAGAGAACGGGAAGACCGAGATCAAAGTGGCTGCAAGAAGTTGAAGAAGACCTCCAAAGGGCAGGAGTCAGTGAATGGAGAGGAAGAACTAGAGACAGGAAAAAATGGAGAGATATTGTCAAGAAGATAAGATAAACAAAAAAAGACTGATCCACTTAAGAAATAGGATCTAGAAATCATTTGCGGTTTAATCCCACACTGGGGTGTATATCTCAGTACAAACATTTAACTTTTGCGGATGCTGCGTTCGCACTGCAACACTGTGCTCATTTTTTCCGAGAATAATACCTTGAAACGGAGGGATTGTGTTTTTTATGTAATGAAAAGAAAGATTCGTCAGAAAATAAAATAAACACCGCTCAAAATATCCATCTATGGCAAGCGATAAGTGGTTTGACAGCATAATAAAATCTTAGATTTATGTGTAGCTTTCAATTTTTATACGTGATGGGCGGGGCAACCTATTTGGGTAGAGTTTTGAATTGTTCTTGAATGATTTCAAAATCCAGCAGCCCGCTGAAGTATTGGATTTTTATAATATAATTATTTGACAACCTTTTGTTGGCCAACAACCTAGAACAGAATTTAGCCGAAATACATAATATTTCGTATGTTCCGAATTTATTTCGTTCAATCTGTAAGTAAGGGGAAGTCGATATAAAATATTACAACTGATCCTTAAAGGCATAATAGAGGGCAGTAGAAGTGTAGGAAGAAAACAGGTTTCTTGGTTGAGGAACATTCGTGAATGGACTAAGATATCAAATGCGGGAGAAAAATTCCATATTGCAGAAGATCGAGAAGCCTTCGCAATGGTCATCGCCAACGTCGGATAATTCTGATGTAGCACGCAAAGACGAAGAAGAATAGTTGTAGTGTAACTTTTTTTTGTTTTTTTAGGGCCGCTTCTGTGGTTAGATCCATCCACTTTACGATTACAATTGGTTGGAGTTGTATCTTTTGGATATGGCTGTGCTACAAATAGACCTTCCATTAATTCTCGAGTAACCAGTTTCTTAGAATGGATCGTTACTGTTGCAGCTGGTAAGTTTTTTAAATTAAATATTGACCATATAATTTATGTACCTACAAGTTTAAAGTTAGATTATGACAGATGTGTATTTTTACGACTTCAAGGAACTTATATTATAATATCGATTGAACTACATCAAGTGACTTGGAAGTTTCTTCTTGTGTGCTTCTCATATATAACCTCTGCATCTTTTAGCTTCTTCCTTTTTTAGATTAATCCAAAAATTCTGATCGCATCCATTTTTGGTTCTATCTTGGTTTTATTCTTGCTGAAAATTTCATTGATATGAACAAAATCAAACTGGGAACCAAAAATGGCAAAAATAGCTGCTGAGACGTAGACTAAAGAAATTCCATACAAAACTAACTAATTAATTTCTGAAGTGTGCACTCTGTCCTTCTGAATTGTGCAGCTGACGCTTTACCCACAAAATATGTAACGCATATTTCTTTATAACTATTGGGCTCTCTTTTGTTTCCCTTTTTATCTATGGAGCTTAGTAGCCCATTTTCCATTCTTTCGGTATTTTTCCACCAAGGAAGCATCTGTTAAATATTTGTTTTAATTCGTGTATAAGGACCGAAGGGGCTTGTTTTAGTAGTTTTGCATATATCACTCCAAGGTCAGTTGCTCTTTTTTGTCATATTTGTTAGCGCTTTGTTATTTCCTTTTTTGATATATCTACAACTTTTCTGTCTGTCTGTATGTCTCTTATTTTGTAAGTTTTTGTTCACTTCTGCTTTGGTTTTTACTATGCTTATTTCGATTCCTTTTTTTGGCAACGTATTAATTTTGAAGACTTGTTTCGGAATTACATTCTTGCCACTATATCTTCTTCTTCAGCCTTAAGTAATCCAACTTTGAACATAGGCCTCCTCCAAATCAATCCAGTGTCTTCTATTTTGCCACTATATACATCTTTTTATATTCAACAAAGAGCTGTTGACTTAAATTCGCTCTAATTAAATTTTTAGGCTCTCCGGGTCTCCTAATGCTGCATATTGTGTTAAATATAAGCGATGTTAGTAATTTCAGTTAATGTTAACAATAAATTATTATTTTTTGGCTATTTTATGTTATGTAGTATAAGATACACATTTAACCCTATTTTTTATTTTCAGATACCAACTATTGCATCAAATAAACTAGAAATCCCGACCAGAATATGTTGTCCGTACTTTTTGTTGTAAAATAGTAACTTAAAATAAAAATAATTTGTCATATTGTAGTTTGTTTTAGTTCATAAGAACAAAAAAGAACAAATACACAATAAGCAACATATGTTTAAATCACAAAGATTAATATAAGTATACTTTCAACTAGTAAATTTATGAAACAGATCAGTGATAATCTTTATAATCAAATTATAATCAAATTAAAATGTATGTTATAAAAAAAATATAATTTATAAAAAACTAAGCTCAGATTAAGCAGTAATAACCAATTTGTTATAAACAGTTAATTCTGTCATCTGCCAGAAAGCTCTTTTAGAAGAAAACGAAGGAATTGTACTCAATGGAGAAAATGTAAACAATAGTCGATATCCAGGCGATACTGTCCAAGTTATAAGAACAAAAATTACATTACAAAAATCAATGTCCAGAGTGTGTGTGTGTGTGTGTGTGTGTGTGTGTGTGTGTGTGTGTGTGTGTGTCTCTACGTTATGTAACCTAATACGGCCATGAAGACAATAATACTTGAGATATACTCATGATAAATCTATTTGGCTGCACTCACATGAGCCAGTATTCGTTTAACTACAGTGGAAGTAACACTTCTGATTTTATATAACTATCTACCGAAGAGTAAGAAGCAAGACCACCCGAGATTCGATAGTACAGCGCCCTGGAGAGAGAAGAAAACCATACTACATCAAACTTAACGTAAAATTTGCAAATAATTATTTTTATCTATTTGATTAATTTGCATTTTAAAACATCCTACACACGTCCTGGCTAAATTATCCAACTGTCGTGACCGACAACGTTGTGTCCGACAGTTGGTGTGTATATAGGTTTGACTGGTAAAAGTCGAACCGAACAATTTGGTTGTACAAATCCGATATCCCGACAGCCGACTTCCCCATTACCCAACCTGCCGAGTCAGGACGTGACAACAATTTTTGTCGCAGTCAACAAGCCTACACACACACACACACCAACCAGATCGAATGACAAATTACTGGAGGCACATTAAAAACAGACAGAGTCATATCTACATAAAAGAAAAGAAAGAAGAAGAGATGTATATCATAAATAGCGTTGAACTTAATCCCTCTCCTTGTCTTATACCCTCATTTGTAGTAAATTGTTTTAATGTTCTATTTTGACATCGTTGATATTGGTGTTGTAAATGTTCCAATTACCTTTATCATTACTAATACCTCTCTTTTCTAATATCTCCCATAATTTTTGCCTTGGTACAGTGTCAAAAGCCTTTTCAAGGTCTTATACGCGAGATACATATTTATTTTCTGTTGCTGACACTTTTCTATCATTTGTTTGATGGTAAATATTTGATCATGGTGCTTCTGCCTTTTCTGAACCCGCTTTGTGATTCCTTACGTGTGCTGTAAATTTTTTAGGTTATTCTTTTGTTCAAATAGTTTTTCGTATATTTTCCTTAATACTTAGAAGGTATATCAAATCGTGTCGCCTATGTTATACTTAAAATAAGAAGAACATCAATTAAAATTATCCAGGTATATGCCCCCACGACAGCTTACGATGACGAAGATTTACCAATGGTTCCAAACCATAGGACATGCATTTTAAATATGAATTTTGAATGATATTTTACGGATATGCGAATTACCTTGCAATTTGAATGGTGAGATTTATTTACATTTTTTATAAAATGATTTTATTGATTTATTGGAAGATTTGTCATCAAACTTAAGGCTAAATATTTGGTTTATACAAGATGGTACACCAATATATTACAGAGAAAGGGGAGTGAGAACAGTATTTAAAAACAACTTTCCTGAACATTGGATTGTTCTTGCTTGGCAGTCATATTCCTTGGTCATGTGGTAAGCTATTAATATAATTATTTAATTCATAAAAAAACAAAAGAATACCTATTAATATACTTCTAATAATACTTATAATAAGTACTGCAGTGGTTTCTTTAGAACCAATGATGCTATTAAATACGAGACGATATTTTATGGAATGTATTGATAAATGAATTAAAGTAAATGGTAGATATGTCGAAAACTTACTTTGACAAAAAGTTTAATGTTATTTAGTGTAACTATTTCTTAATTTGGTTTGGAAATAAAATGTTTTGATTATGACTTTAATTTAATATAAAACGTAAAATGTTTGAGGTAAAATCCAATTATTCTGTTCTTTTATCAAATTCTATTATTAATTATCCTGCTGATATATTTATTTTATTTAATATTTTGTTACCTATTAACTTTATTAAAAGTATTTTATAACAAAATTCAAAAGTATTGATGTTTTCATCTATTTTTCTTTCATTGCCTGGAGTAATTGCGTTAAATCAGAATTATGCAATTGATTTGTAAAATGCGATTATCTCGAAAACTGTTGAGTTTTGAAGTTATTAACAAGTATACCTTTTTTTTGTTAAAATAATCTTTAATATGTATGTTTTTTAATATGTATGTATGATCTTTAATATAATGTATCTTTAATATTTTTTATCAAAAATACCGGTAACTTGAAGAACAAAAAAGTTAAGTGCAAATGTATGCCACGTATGTGGAATATGTGGCGCCCTCTATTAGCTATATCAAAGTATGTATCAAATTATAATTCCTGATATTGAACAGTACCCAGTTGTAAATTTGTATACATAAATGTTTACAAACATGAAAGTTAGAGCGAAAAATAAAATTTTACATTTCCACTTTAACGCCCTGTACCTTTTTTAATATCAACATTTTATTAAAGCAAGTTGGCTTAAATCGTAATATTTTAAAGTGTAGAATATGCGGTTGCTTTTTGTACAATTACTTAAGGACCACCCTGTATATAAGGAAGCCAAAACATCAATTAAAGTATATGAAGGAACAAAATCACAACAATATCATAAATCAGAACAAAATTAATACAAATAAATAGAGGCGTGAGCCAGGGTGACACAATATCACCGAAACTTTTCAATCAGGCTCTGGAAGATATTTTTAAAAGATTATAATGGGTAGAAAAAGGTATAAACATTTGTGGACAACGCTTGAACCATCTAAGGTACGCTGATGACATCGTATTGATAACCGATAAAAAAGAAGAATTGTTTGAAATGGTGAAAGAACTGGACGTAGAAGCTGGAAAGATAGGCCTTAATATGAATTACAGCAAAACCAAAATCATAACAAATACAGATAAAGACATCACAATGAGGATCGCACAAAATGAAATAGAACACGTTCAGGATTATATATATCTGGGACAAACTATAAAACTTAACAAAGAAAACTAAATAGCAGAGATAAAAAGACGAGTTAGACTGGCATGGACGGCATTTGGCAATCTGAGCTATATTTTTAAAAACAAAAGATATTCACAGCTTCTTAAGACCAAAGTATACAATCCATGCGTACTCCCTGTTCTTACTTATGGTTCCCAAACGTGGGCTTTTACAAAAGCAAACATGGACAAAATCATAAAAACCAAAAGAGCAATGAAAAGACAAATGTTGCACATAAGACTAATGGATAACAAGAGAAACAAATGGATAAGAGAGAAAACAAAAGTGAGGGATGTTAAATAAGAAGTTGTAAAATTGAAATGAAGATTTGCCCTACACAATATAAGACAAAAAGAAGACCGGCGGAACAAAATTCTTATAAGTTGGAGACCGTAGGAGTATAAACGAAGTACAGGAAGGCCCCAAATCAGATGGGCAGATGATATCAAGAAGCACGTGGGCTCTAGGTGGATAACTGTAGCGACAGACAGAGAAGAATGGAAAATGATTGGAGAGGCCTATGTCCAAAGATATTACATAGACTTAAAAGTGTTATTTCTCTGTACTTGTTGAAATCCGTTCATTTTTATAAATCGGTACTCTTTGAGCCTACTGCAAGTTTTTCTCCATATGGAATTAAATATCTTTAGTAATAACTTTGTGAACCTGATATCGTCAAACATATGTAAACATATAGGACGATTGAGCATGTAATGTGGATGGAACAAAATGACCAAGCTGGAAAAGCGCTCCTTGATAGACCCATTGGTCAGAGAAGAAGAGGAAGAGCCAGAACAAAGTTCCTTAATAACATCGGCGAAGACATGAGAAATATAGGAATACTTGTAAAGCCAGAATGATGATGATAACTCTGTTGTATTATGTTCAATTTTTTTATCATTTCATTTGTTATTCTGTCATACTTTGGTGCCCACCCGTTTTTCATTTCTGCAATAGTTTCTTGCAGCTCATTTATCTATTGTATTGGATCTATATTATCATTTTCTAATCTTTAATTCAACAGGTTGCTTTCTTCTTAAGTGCAGTATGTATGCAGCATCTCTTGGAAACATCCGTCTGTGTATTATTTCATTTTCTTTTTTCAGAAGTTCGCCAGTTTTATTTTTTATGTTTTTCCTGCTTTGCGTTTTTTCTTTTCTCATTGATTTTAAAACTTCAAAGAACAGTTTCTGATTCTCTTTATGTTACTGTTTGTTTCCATATTTTCTCAAAATTCTGTCTGTTTGCCGTTTTTTTTGCTTTTGCAACAAATTCTTTTACTAATCATCTATATTTTTATATTCTTCATCGCTTTCTGGTGTTTTATTTTGTAAATATATTTTCCAAGCAATTGTCTTTCTTTTAATTTGTAAATTCTTCATTCCATTACGCAATTTGCTACGGTTTGTTTGAATACGGGATGTTTTGAAATCTTTGTCTCTGAAAACAGTTTCGTCTGAAAACAGTTTCGTGTCGTCTGAAAACAGTTTTTATATTGGTGAAGATATGTAGACGACGTACTGGTATGTTTCACAGGAGCTAACAGACAACTCGACCAATTTTTATCATATATTAATTCACTTCATAGTCATATTGAATTTACAATAGAAACAGAACAAAATCAATCCATAAATTTTTTAGATTTAAAAATTAGCAGACTTCAAAACAAACATGACTTCTCCATATTTCATAAACTTACACATACTGACACGACTATACACAATTCGTCATTCCATCCAACACAACATAAACTGGCAGCTTATCATAGTATGTTACATAGATTAACAGAAATTCCGATGTCAAAATACAACTTTGAGACAGAATTAAATATAATTAAGCAGATAGCAGTAAACAATGGATACAACGAACAAACAATTAATAAAATGTTAAATCAAAAACTATACAAGAAAGCCCTGAAATTAGTATTTCCACCACCAGAGAAAAAACCCAGTACCTTCTGCTCGATTACATATACAGGCAAAATAACAACAAAAATTGCCAAACACATAAAAAAGAAAGGTATAACACCAGCTTTCCGAACAAATAACAACCTAGGCAAATATATTAAAAATAACAAGAGCCAAAATAAAAAACACTTAAATAGTGGTGTGTACAAACTTCTGTGGCGACTGCCCAAAATCTTACATCGGTCAAACTGGTAGAAACTTTGATAAACGAATAGCAGAACATAAAAGGGCTTTCAAAAATAGAAAAACAGATTCGACATACGCACTTCACCTTCTAGATAATAATCATTCTTTTAATGACAAGTTTAAAATTCTTCACATTCAAAATAAAGGCCTTAAGCTATCTTTGTTAGAATCTATGGAAATCAACAAATTAAAAAACACAGATATAATTCTGAATGACCAACTTGAGACAAACAGTTCTCCCCTCCTCAACCTATTTCATTAGAGACTATAAATTTGTAAACCCAAGCCAAAATAGATCACAAAATGAAAACTTTGTTTTCAAACTTCCACAGAATTTATTTTAAATATTATCACTACGGCTGTTTCGGCTGATTGCCTTTTTCAAGTGATCTATTTGCTGCTGCAAATAGATCACTTGAAAAAGGCAATCAGCCGAAACAGCCGTAGTGATAATATTTAAAATAAATTCTGTGGAAGTTTGAAAACAAAGTTTTCATTGTTTTATTGTTACATAAAATGAATTTCCATCAAGTAACGGTCGAATCCATCAATTATTTTCCATAGTTGTTGTACGTTTCGACTCTTTAACATTTCTTTAGTATTTCGTAGCTCTTGATTTATGGTCATCTGGTACTTTTCAGTAATTTATTAATTTATATGACCTTATAGTTTCATATTCTTGTTTTCTTTTGCAATTTGTTAATGTTATTCTTATCTGAATTATTTTTATTTATTTCAGATAAGTAGGTATTTCAACTGTATGATACTAAATGTAATAAAAAAAAAAATTGGTACATGACTCAAAAAGGTAGAGAATCGCTAGTCTAAAGTCAGAAAAAGAGCATACAGAGACCACGTTGATAGAATGAGTGATCATAGACTTGCAAAGATTGCAAAGGAAGATAAACCGAATACCAGCAGACCACAAGGAAGGCTCCCCAAATGCTGGTACGAAAGTTGCACTTCGGAATCCCAACTACATCTTATGCTACAACTTTGAAAATTCTAGACATTGTCTTAAAATAAGAAAAAGAAAAAGAATAAAGAAGAAATATCTGACATCAGTATCATTAAACATCAAATACCATCCCTCTTCCTATATCTTGGTCAGCAAGTCGAACATTCTCTAAAATTGCTTAAATTTTTGTGAAAGATAACTACTAATTTGTAGTTTTCTTATCTCCTAATCCATATGTTGTAAATTTGAAAGCAAGGATAATAACCTCTGCTAATCTCCCTATAAGTTTCCATGAATTGGTATGAAATAAAATGATATACTCTATTCCTCGACCTTGTAAGCACCTTAATACCTGGCCCTAATAAATAAGCAATAATTGCTGTCTACATAGATAAACAAAATCTCTATACATTAATGTATATAACCCCCCTTAAAACCGATAAAAAACATAAAAATTAACGTAAATATTGCACGACGTTTGTCGTTATCACATTCGAAATATATATTTTTTTCAGTAAAAAGTGGATATATTATGTGCCATTGAATTGAACCACTGGATTTATAAAAATGGGTGACGTATTACATTTTCTATTTTTTTTTAAATATAATTTGATTTTATTAAATTCCTTGCTAAACCTCCATTTCCTTTTTTCCTCTTCAAATTTTACCTATTTTATTTTTGTTGATTGTTTTATTTATTGGTACTTGACTTCTTATTTGATATCGCCTTTTACGTTGTAGGTATTATCACATCTAAATTATTTTCTTTAGGATTTATTGTCGCAAATATTTTTGCTGTAATTCTTTTTTTTTTGCTTCTCATTCGTTCTGGAAATTCGTCATAATCTTTTGTGGTATCATAGACACAGTTCCTATTTTTCTTATTTCCCAACTATAAATCTTTTACAGTTTTTAAATTTTTAGACAATTCTTTTATCTGTTGAGATGTTTTCCTTTTTTCTTTATCTATATTTATAATATTATCTACCCATATATTCCTAGTCATTCTTTTTACACGAGTCCCATAGCTTTAGCTAAACACTGTGACAAAACAGATGTGTTGCTAAACAGATGTGACACTTCTTATGGGCGATTTTAAGGCTACTCAGTACTCAGGTGATTTAATGAAATGGTACAGTTTCAAGCAAACAAAAAAACTAAGAAAAACTATTAAATTTAATAAAAAATACGTATAGTACATAGATGGAAACTAATAGTGTAAGTGAAGAAATATTCAGTTTTTAAAAATGCTATTGGAAAGGTGGCCTCCATTTTGTTCGTCACGTTCTTGTACTCGTGGTACAAAACTGTTTACGATACTGAGTAACATTTCTTGAGGTATTGCTTCAACTTCTTCTCGTATCCGTTCTTTCAAAGCCTCGATAGTTTTTAGTAAGTTACTTTGAAACACTTTTAACTTAAGATACCCCAAAGAAAGTTGTCGCATAGCGAGAGGTCCGGACTACAAAGTGGCCAGAGAATATCGCCGTTTTTATTTATAATACGATCCGAGAACAATCTTAGTAAATCCAATGACACTTGTGATGTGTGACATGTTGCAACATCCTGTTGAAAGGTCGTGTGTTTATTTCTGTAATTCTTGATTGCCGAAAATTTATTTAACATGTGCATGTATCGTTTTTGAATATGGGAGTCTTTCGTATAATTGCCTCGGATTATTATCGAAACATTACAAGAAAAGGTCTACGGAAGATGGGAGCAGGAAGAAGAAAAATATCTTGGCTCCAGAACTTAAGAAAATGGTTTTCCTTGACCACTTCAGGACTATTTCGAGCTGCGGTCAATAAAGTTAGAATTGCCATGCTAGTAGCGAACATCCGTAACGGATAGGCACCACAAGAAGATTGTAAAAATAGCGAAAATTTTGTTACATACACACTTTGATGAAAGTGGGGTTCATCCCTTACGCAAAGAATATGAGGCAAGTTGTCGTTCTCATTAATACGCTCCAACATGTGTTCACAAAACCCTAGTCAGGTGTGATAATGTCAAACGTTAAGAGCTCGCACAATCTGCATTTTATACGGATGATACTGGAGATCTTTATGCAAAATTCTGCTTGTAATGGTATAGCTCGAGGACTAGTGTGTAATGAGTTTCACACCGCTTCAATATTCTGTGGCGTGCGAGCAGTTCTATCACTGCCACCTCTTTTCTGTGATCTTGAACCACTACTTTCATAGTTCCTAACTCAGGAGCTCGTTGTACACACACAAAACTTTCACCATTTTTGTAATAAGCTTTCCAGTAAATGCGCGTTGTCATCCGATCACTTCTCCATGATAACTAAACTTATTACTTTCTAGTTGCCTATGTTTAGGTAGCAAGCCCGCGGCTCATCTATTTTTTTGACTGTAGCGTTGCCAAATCATCATGCTTCACTGAATACCAGTTATATACATAAGCAGATTTGGGTTTCTAAAAACGGAATAGCATAACTAGCACTAGTGAAGTTTACAGGGCCAGGATGCAGAGAGTGGCGGTCTGTTGTGCTGAGAACGTTAATACAAGATTCTCCCAATATATGAAGCACTGTTGAAGACACGCAAGGATATGACATATGTTTGACATTGTTAAATACATGCGAAATTGACAATTATTAATAAATTAGTTTTTTAACTATATTTTTTCAGTTTATGTACAAAATAAATGTAGTATTAAAAACTGGGTTTCTTAAAATTCATCATAATATATCTTTTCAACTCCAAACGGAAAAGAAAGGGAAAAATCTAGTACTGGCAAATCAAGTTTTTCACGCAAAAGAGCATATAATTAAAAACAATAAAAGTAAAAGTTATGATATAAAAGCTAAAGTCATCTGCAGTTAGCTTGAAGCCTTATGAAATATCATCCAAGGTAAATTATTTAAATTTTTCCTATTTCAATTGCATAAAAATAAAATTATGTGATATTTACTTTTTCATATTAATAGCACGAATTCATCTTTTCTTTTCTCTAATTTATATGCAATCTTTGGGAACCTATAAAAACTACACTCACTGTTTTTGCTATTATTATCACAATTAAATACGCAACATGTATTTGCACAATTTTGTCCAATATTCCAATTTTGTCATATTTCACCGCTACGCACGCTGGCATCGTTTCAATGTACCCCTACCATGGTCACGCACGGAGCGAATAAATCTTTTTGGTTTTATTTTTATTTCTATTGGCTAACTGTAGTAATTTTGGCTTAGGAGGAAATAAAGTATTTTCATTCGTTAATCATTCTTTTATTTTATGTACTCTCCAGGAATATGTTGGTTGCTTATTTTAAATTTCCCAATGGTATGGTGCACTATCTAAAACTATAACATATGGTTTATGTATGAAAACTTGAAAGCAGTTTTTCTCTGAACTATTTCGCAAATATCTCCGTATTCATGATATAGTGATAATTAACCGATTTTGATTTTAACGAAAATATAAGATCCGCTTCATCAATAAAATCATGTTTTCTACCCACACACAATGTAATATGTCTCTTTTCATTAGTATCTGTGTGTTTTACAGATTTTATAGAATCGTCTTATAAAATCCGTTTTATTCCATCTTTAGCAAATATCCATTAAATAAACAAACAAATAAATTCGTCTAAATAAACAAATAAAACGTGTTCTTTTAAAAAAATATTACATATTCTTAAAAACTCTTGTTTCTCTCTTCCTTTCTGGTTTCATTAAATTTTATTTGGAAGGCAAGTTGGTATTCTCGTTTCTTTGTTGGGTTATAGGATACCTTTAAGATTCCATTTTTTAAGTGAAATATTTTTCTCTTTTACTACTGTCGCGATTCTCTGCCACATATTTGCTTCCACAAGCAGATTGATCTAAGTCTGAATTAGCCCCAAACCTTCTGACATATATTTGTTGTGCATCTTTTTGAGATTAGAACGTGGTCAATTTAATTAGCTTTGTTGGTTCCTGGTATTTTCCACGTTCCTTTAGGAATTTATTTTCAGTAGTAATATCCCTAGGACATTGATAACAGACGAGATAATTTCATGACAATCGAAAGCTCGTTCCTTGGTAACAGCACGAAGCCGAAGGCTGAGTAGCTGAAGCAACGAGCTTGAGAAATTTGTCATGAAATTATGAGGCATTCATCAATGTCCGAGGGATATTCGGCGGATCATTTTTCGAAAAAAAAAATCATAACTCAACATAACGAAACATTTATTTATTAAAAGTACAGTTAGTGAAAGTACAATTATTAAAATTTAAGTTAACATTAGATTCGTCGCTGTTCTCTACTATAGAAGATCTATTATCTTCTTCTTTATGTGCCGTCTTCTACCGAAGGTTGGCGACCATCATACGATAGGTTTCTCTGTTTTGTGCCGCATGAATTATGTTCGCAGCTTCTGGTATTTGAAACCATTCTCTCAAGTTTCTCAGCCAGGATTTCTTCTTTCTGCCCAAACCTCTTCTACCTTCAATCTTGCCTTCCACGATAAGCTGTAGCAGACTGTACTTATCATTACGGAACACATGGCCCAGGTATGACGCTTTCCTCCTTTTAACAGTTGTTAACAATTCCACCTCTTTACCCATTCGTCTTAATACCTCTGTGTTGGTCACTCTGTCTGTCCAAGGTATTCTCAGTATGCGTCGATACAGCCACATTTCTAGAGCCGCTAATTTCTTTATAGTTGCTGCTGTTAACGTCCACCCTTCTACGCCGTAAAGTAGCGTAGAGAGTACGTAGCATTTCGTGGCGCGCCATCGGAGGTTAATGCTTAGGTTGCGGTTGCTTAAGAGCTTTCTCATTTTGATGAATTTAACCATGCTATTACCACGCATAATATTTATAATCTTGTTGTGGTGTTCTTGATCGAGATTTAAGTATGGTTTTATAGAATTCTGATTGCCATAACCAGTAATTTTTAGCAATTGTTGTTCTTCTACACCACTTTTTGCTAATTCAACTCATATTCTCGTCCGTAGCAAAATTCCATGAATATTCCCCAAATATATTTGTGACTGTAGGTTGTATTTCTGGGAATTTTTTCTTTGATTAGCGCATTTATACTTTGAACATTCTCATTGCCGAAACGTGACATTTTGAAATTTATTTGGATGAAGTTGTCAAACTCGATCGTGTTGTCATAGGGATTGAAAATTGCACTGAATGCAATTATCATTCTAATGTTGACATGATTGGGTGAAATTGTTCCACATGACACAAAATGACGAAATTTGAATGGTTGTTAGAACAGTCGAAAAATTATCACTGAAAATTAATGCTGATAATTACACATTATTTGCTGCTGCGATTTGTGTTACTCCAAGTTCATTTTCACTGATTTCTGCATGTAAACTTTATTTTCCAAATACGTTCATAGAAGTTTCTTCTTTTTCCAGCCAAGCACTAAAATCGCTTAATATTATAACTTTTTTTCCTAGGTTAATGACACTGGCAAAGCCAAAAGGCCAGTCATGTAAACATTATAACAGTATTGTGTCTTTGGATTTTATCACATACTTCCTGTAGATCCTTATATAATCTTTCTAACTCTTCTTTCCCAGCATCCTTCCTCGATAGGAC